GAGAGGTTCCTCAGCATTTTTGGGGTGATGCTCTTCTTACTGCATGTTATCTTGTTAATCGCATGCCATCTTCGATTTTTGATAATAAAATACCTCATTCCATTTTATTCCCTCATGAACCACTTCATCCCTTACCTCTAAAAGTTTTCGGGTCTACATGTTTTGTTCATAATTTCAGTTCTAGTCTTGACAAACTTTCTCCTAGATCACATAAATATGTTTTCTTAGGGTTTACAAGATCACAAAAAGGATAAAAATGTTTTTCTCCTTCTCTTAACCGTTATTTTGTGTCTGCAGATGTCACATTTGATGAGTTTTCTTTTTATTTTAAAAGTCAATCTTCACCTCAGTCTCCATCCAATCTTGTCAACACTCCTAGTACATTTAATGTTCCTGTTGTTTATGACCCTCTAACTGTGTCTTCTTCACCATTAGTTTCTACTTCGCAGTCAGTTTCTTCTTCACTGCCTCTTCAGGTTTATAATTGCCAAAACCAATCACAACCACCACCATGTGACTCTACTCAAGTGCCAACTACTCTGTCTCCTCCGGATGTGACACCTGAGTCTGACCTTCCCATTGCCCTCCGAAAAGGTATCCGTTCTACACGTAATCCCTCTCCCCATTATATTGGTTTGAGTTATCATCGACTGTCATTACCTTTTTATACATGTCTTTCCTCTCTTTCTTCTGTGACCATTCCAAAAACTGTCCGTGAAGCTTTAGCCCATCCTGGTTGGCGTTAGGTCATGTTAGATGAACTAAGTGCTCTTCATAATAGTGGAACTTGGGAATTTGTCTCGTTACCGTCTGGAAAATCTGTTGTTGGTTGCATGTGGGTATTTTCTATCAAAGTTGGACCTGATGGTACTATTGATCGTCTCAAAGCTCGTCTTGTGGCCAAAGGTTATACTCAAATTTTTGGGTTGGATTATGGAGATACCTTTTCCCCTATGGCAAAGATGACTTCTGTTTGTTTATTTATCGCTGTTAGATATTGTTTAGATATTATTTAATATTGTTAAGATATTGTTAGATATTAACCATAATATCAAACAATATCTTCTGTTTATTCTGTTACTTTCAGTTACTCTTTTAGTTGTATCTCTCTACTATAAATAGACTACCCTATGTGTGATTTATACACAAGGGAGATTAATCTCAAACTCTATTTCTTCTATATTCAACATGGTATCTAGAGCTTAAGGTTATTTTGAATTTTTTTTTGGCCTTAGACCACTATTGAAGTCGCCACCACCGCCGCTATCGTTGTCGGTTATTTGGTAGTGTGAAAGTGCATGTCTAGGAAAGTTCTGACAAGGAAAGACTTGGTATTTAAGCGTGTCCATTAGTGACCCACCTCTCTTTCCTGGGAACTTACCCGGTGTACTCGGTTCACGCCGCTGTCACTATCGCCTTCGCCCTTTATGAGTTCTTCCGCTCCTTTTAGTACTTCCAATTCGTCAGATCTTGCGTCCGATCCTTCCATTTACACTAACTATGTTAATGTGCACTTATCCATTGACAAGTTAAGCTGGCCCTAATTATGCCACATGGTCATCAGACGTCAGATTATGGCTTAAGAGTCAGAAGTATCTTGATCATCTTGCCCCGAAAGCACCTACTCTCACTCCTGGTGAGGAAGACCGTTGGGACACCATTGATGCTCAATTATGCGTGGTTCTCAAGGGTACCCTTGATCCTTCGTTAAAACAAATTTTTCGTTCCTACGAAACATGTGCAAAAATCTGGGAACATGCCAAGTTATTATACACCAATGATACTCAACGTCTCTATGATGTCTGTTCTAAATTTGTAGATGTTATTTCCTCTAAACATCAAGATTCTATGACTGATTATATGGGCAAAATTCATGCTCTTTTTCATGAGTTCAATGAGTTATTGCCTCCTTCCCCCGACCCTGCCACCGAGATAGGACAACGATCAAAGTTCTTCATGCTAGGGGCATTACACGGACTTGCTGATCAATATTCACATATTCGTGATCAGATTTTGGGTTCTCCGGTTGTCCCCACCTTGACATCGACCTGCTCCACTCTTTTGCGTATACCAGCAAAACTCAACCCTGACACACCTGCTTCTGTTAATGATTATCTATCTTTTATCGACACTCAAGTGCTGGATGTGTTTACTTGATAGTATATGTTGATGACATCGTTCTTACAGGTAGTGACAACCATGGCATCTCTCAGTTGAAACAACATCTCTGTCACCATTTTCAGACCAAAGATCTTGGCAAACTTAGATATTTCTTGGGTATTGAGGTGGCACAGTCCAATGATGGTATTGTTATATCTCGGAGGAAGTATGCCATGGATATTTTAGAGGAAACTGGGTTGATGAATTCAAAGTCTCGTTGATACGCCCATGGATCCCAATACTAAACTTTTACCAAATCGGGGGAGCTTTTACCCGATCCTCGAACAAGTATAGAAGATTGGTTGGAAAATTGAATTATCTTACAGTTACTCGTCCCGACATTTCCTTTGCAGATCAGTGTGGTAAGCCAATTTCTTAATTCCCCATGTGAAGATCATTGGAATGCGATCATTCGTATCTTAAAGTATATTAAAAGATCTCCTGGAAAAGGATTGTTATATGATTCTAATAACCATACAAGAGTTGTTTGCTACTCGGATGCTCGATTGGGCAGGATCTCCTTCCGATAGAAGATCTACATCTGGATATTGTGTCTCCATTGGCGGTAACTTGGTCTCATGGAAAAGTAAGAAACAAAGTGTTGTGGCAAGATCTAGTGCGAAGCGGAATATAGAGCTATGGCCTCAGCTGCTTGTGAACTTGTTTGGCTCAAGCAATTGCTTAGAGAGTTACAATTTGGAGATGTCACTCAAATGTCACTTGTGTGTGACAATCAGCCGCTCTTCATATTAGTTCTAATCCTGTCTTTCATGAGAGGACCAAACACATTGAGATTGACTCGTCATTTCATTCGAGAAAAGATTATGTCCGGAGACATCAAGACTGAGTTTGTTAACTCAAGTGATCGATTAGCGAGATATTTTTACTAAATCTTTACTGGGGTCCTAGAATTGATTATATTTGTAACAAGCTTGGCACATACGATTTGTATGCTCCAAGCTTGAGGGGGAGTGTTAGATATTGTTTAGATATTATTTAATATTGTTAAGATATTGTTAGATATTAACCATAATATCAAACAATATCTTCTGTTTATTCTGTTACTTTCAGTTACTCTTTTAGTTGTATCTCTCTACTATAAATAGACTACCCTATGTGTGATTTATACACAAGGGAGATTAATCTCAAACTCTATTTCTTCTATATTCAACAATCGCCATGGCCGCTCTTCAACAATGGCCTCTTTATCAACTAGATGTTAAAAATGTTTTCCTCAATGGTGATTTGCAAGAAGAAATCTATATGGAGCAACCTCCTGGGTTTTTTGCTCAGGAGGAGTCTTCTGGGATGGTATGTCGTCTTCGCAAATCCTTATATGGCCTAAAACAGTCTCTTAGGGCCTGGTTATGAAAGTTTAGCAAGGTTGTTCAACAATTTGGTATGACTCGGTGTGAAGCAGATCACTCTGTCTTTTATCGACACTCAAGTGCTGGATGTGTTTACTTGATAGTATATGTTGATGACATCGTTCTTACAGGTAGTGACAACCATGACATCTCTCAGTTGAAACAACATCTCTGTCACCATTTTCAGACCAAAAATCTTGGCAAACTTAGATATTTCTTGGGTATTGAGGTGGCACAGTCCAATGATGGTATTGTTATATCTCAGAGGAATTATGTCATGGTTATTTTGGAGGAAACTAGGTTGATGAATTCAAAGTCTGTTGATACGCCCATGGATCTCAACTAAACTTCTACCAAATCAGGGGGAGCTTATTCCTGATCCTGAGCAGTATAGAAGATTGGTTGGAAAATTGAATTATCTTACTGTTACTCGTCCTAACATTTCCTTTGCAGTCAGTGTGGTAAGTCAATTTCTTAATTCCCCATGTGAAGATCATTGGAATGCAATCATTCGTATCTTAAAGTATATTAAAGGATCTCTTGGAAAATGATTGTTATATGATTCTAATAACCATACAAGAGTTGTTTGCTACTCAGATGCTGATTGGGCAGAATCTCCTTCGGATAGAAGATCTACATCTGGATATTGTGTCTCCATTGGTGGTAACTTGGTCTCATGGAAAAGTAAGAAACAAAGTGTTGTGGCAAGATCTAGTACAGAAGCAGAATATAGAGCTATGACCTCAGCTGCTTGTGAACTTGTTTGGCTCAAGCAATTGCTTAGAGAGTTACAATTTGGAGATGTCACTCAAATGTCACTTGTGTGTAACAATTAGGCTGCTCTTCATATTAGTTCTAATCCTGTCTTTCATGAGAGAACCAAACACATTGAGATTGACTGTCATTTCATTCGAGAAAAGATTATGTCTGGAGACATCAAGACTGAGTTTGTTAACTCATGTGATCAGTTAGCAGATATTTTTACTAAATCTTTACGGGGTCCTAGAATTGATTATATTTGTAACAAGCTTGGCACATACGATTTGTATGCTCCTGAGGGGGAGTGTTAGATATTGTTTAGATATTATTTATTATTGTTAAGATATTGTTAGATATTGTTAACCACAATATCAAACAATATCTTCTGTTTATTCTGTTACTTTCAGTTACTCTTTTAGTTGTATCTCTCTACTATAAATATATTACCCTATGTGTGATTTATACAAAAGGGAGATTAATCTCAAACTCTATTTCTTCTATATTCAACAGTATGCGTAAAGAGTTAATCGTGGGCTACTAATAAATACATAACGATAGATAACAAATCCTAATTGGCATCTCAAACATTTACTCCACATAACGTGAATACTCTCTAGCCGACAAAAAGTCTCAAGTGACGGTGTTCTTTCTTGGGAAACTGATTGCAAACAAACAGACTGTTGTCTTCATCATCATTGTAATACATAAATGAAATCATGCAGTGGCTAGCTTCTCTTCTGTTGCTGCCTCTCCGCTAGCAGTTTCCTTAGCACGCTTAGCTTCACAGTCTTTAACAGCCACTTTAATGGCATCTTCAACAAGCATGTTGCAGTGGAGCTTTACTGGTGGAAGTGAAAGATGCTTTGCAATTTCACTGCATGACATCGATTATTTGTCAGTTCAAGATCTCATAAATTGACCAGATGCATAATTACATTACATGTATCTAATAGAATATGCATATGATATGATTATTCTAAAATAAGACGCATCAATAAATATGCACAAAAGTCATAAAACCTAATAAATTGTTGAATTAATTAAATTCAATTTTTTTCTTTTGATCTCGGAATAGTCATTCACCCAAAACCTAAGTGTTGCAGTTTCAACTTTCCTTAAGTGGGTCTAGACTTTTTCAAGCTGATCAATGGCCCCTCCCCATAATTCTTCCGAATTTCAAATAGTTGTCCAGGTTTTATGTTTTTGATTATCTAATAGGAAACCCTCTTTCCATTCATTTCCAAATGACTATGATCTTTTCCGAAACCAAACAAACATGAATCTTTCTATTCATTTGGCTCTCTGGGAAATTTCTTTAAAGAAATTCAATTCAAGCTATGATATGTCCAAGATCTAAAGAATTTAAGAGGTTGTCTTTGATTTTGTCCGGACAACAAACAATTTGAAATGTCTCTACTTTTTTTAGAATAGATCGGAGTCAAATACAAAACGATACTCAAATTCAAGTGAGTAAATAGAACTTCATATTAGATATCAATGATACATACTGCAAATCCAAATTAAGTATGTACTGCTTCGATATTGCTAAATTCATATACACACACGTATAAACATAAGCTGTCCTATTGTCTTACCCAGAAAATTAGCAGAACATAAATAGATAAAAATTACATATACACACAGAGACAAACATATATTAATTCCTATCCTATCCAGTGTTATCCAATGCAACATCAAATATAAGACTGTTATCTTAAGGCAAAATTTCAGATAATGTTATGTATACTTACGTGTTTTTTTTCTGGACAGAACTTCCTCCATTTGCTTTCCCTTCATCCTTAAGGGAGTTTTTAACCAGAATTGCTTAAAAATAAAATTAAATATTTTATTAGGTCCTACAACTGAGTTGGTCGGATGTTGCTTATCCCACAACAACTCTTGTTAGCAACAGGAGATGCTCTCAGTAGCTGAAAATATGATAGATATATCAGAAACATGTTAAATAAAAAGAGGAACATAATAGAATGAATTGAACAGAAAACAGAGAGCAATGTTTGTATTTGTACCAGCAGAGGAAGAAGCGATGGCGGAGCCACACCCAAAAGTCTTGAATCGAGCATCGACGATTTTTCCAGTTTTGTCGTCGACCTTAATCTGAAGCTTCATGGCATCCCCGCTCGCCGGTGCCCCCCACCAAACCCATCCCCACACTGGGATCGTTCAATTGAACGACCCCACTTTCTGGGGATTGTCATAATTGAAACACTTGTTTTTTAGGCGTGGAAGTAGATAGGTTATAGGTAAAAAATTAATCTGTTAATAATTATAATACATATTGTGATATTGTGTTTCATAATATTTATCATATTTAATGAAAAAATAATTTTTAAGCTTTGGAAAAATAAATTAAGTTTTTTAATATGTTAAATGGTAGTTTTAATATGTTAAAATCACTTAAAATAGGAAATGTATATATATAACTGATATTTTAATTGATTAAGTCGTAAAATCAATAAATTAAAATGTTCTTGATGATTTTTTCATATTAATAATTTTGCATTATTAATCTGTTAAATTGATAAATCAATATATTAAAATGTTTTAAGTCATTATTCATGTTTTAAGTACCTCAGGTTTTTAATATGTTAATATGAGTTTTAATCTATTAAAACAGAGAGCTACTATTTTTCTTTTTAGCAGTTTTAATCTATTAAAAACTCGAATTAACCGATTAAAACATCATTTTAATCAAATTGTCAATTTTTCTCTTTTACTCTATACATACAGTTTTGATTTCTCTTTTAAAAAACACACAATTTGGAAATCGATTAAAAGCAATCTTGGAGCTCTCATATTCATGTGTTTTTCTGAGCATTCATACACATTCATGTCATAAGGCGCTTTGATCAAGATTGTTGAAAGATCTTCAAGAGAAGAAGTTTTGTGTTAGGAAATTTGCTTCTGGACTTCTGTATTACAAAAAACTACTGTCCAGGTTTATCTTTTCCAATATTTGTACGAATTTTTATTGTGTAGATTGGGTTTGAATTTGCACTGGTTACAACAACTAGGTTTGGTTGCTGGATGGTTTTCAAGAGTCTATCTTATGGTGTTGTAAGGTAGATCTTGGGGTAGATTGGTTTGTATATACTGGTTTGTATTTTCACTTGATTTTAGTGGAACTTGACAGGTTTGTCAAGAACTGGATGTAACTCTTGGAAAGAGTGAACCAGTATAAAAACTCTTGTGTTGTATTTCTGCATTTTTCTCATTTCATTTCTGTTTTATATTGTTATCTTGTTAAAAACCAAATCTGCCTAATAAAAGATTGATTAAAGATTAATCATTCTTCCACAAAGAAAGCATTTTTAAAAAAGGTTTCAAAGTTTAATTCACCCCCCTCTTAAACTCAACCATTAATTCTTATAATTGGTATCGAAGCTGGTTTTGTAAGTTACTCAAGAATTCGGTCCAAGAAAGTTTAAATGGCTGAGGGAAAAATGAATTTTTCTGAAGGAGGCTCCATCAATAGGCCTCCTCTATTTTCTGGTGTGAATTATTCCTTCTGGAAGGTTAGAATGAAAATCTTTATTGCATCTCTTGATAGGGGTATTTGGGATACAATTATTAATGGTCCTTTCAAATCAACTCATACAGTGGATGGTAAAATTATTGAAAAAGATTATGAATTGTTCAAAATGCAGCAAGGTGAAACCATTGCAGATGTGCAAAAAAGATTCACACATATAGTCAACCATCTAATTGGATTAGGCAAGACGTTTGACAAGGAAGAGTTAAACATCAAAATCCTAAAATGTTTGGACAGATCTTGGCAACCAAAGGTGATAGCCATATCAGAATCAAAATACTTAACTGAGATGACTACTACATCACTTTTGGTAAGATAAGGGAACACGAGTTGGAAATTAACAAGTTTAAAGAACAAGAAAATGCAGAAAAGAAAAGCAGAAACATTGTTCTCAAGACAATTGAAGAAAGTAGTGACTCTGATGAATAAGGGTATGAGAATCTTAATTTGTTGATTAAGATGTTTGAGAAATTTCTTAAGAAGAAGAACAGAACTGACCAGATTAAAAGGTACAATGATAAAAGAACTGATTCCCTTCAAAATACTTATACTTGTTATTCTTATGGTAAGCAGGGATATATAAGAAGTGACTGTCCAGAAAAATTCAAGAATCAAAACAAGAAAGATATGAGGTATAAAGGGAAGAAGGCCTATATAACCTGGTAAGACAATGATTCATCCTCAAGTTTTGGATCTGAAAGTGAAGAAGTGAATTTATGCTTAATGGATGGCTATGAATCTTCTTCATCCCGTGAATAGCAGCAAGAATCACTTTGGTACTTGGACAGTGGATGCTCAAGGCATATGCAGGTGATATTTCCAAATTTTAGAAACTGAGATTGAAGACTAGAGGTCACGTAAAATATGGAGATAACAACAAGGGAAGAATCTTAGGTTCTGGAGACATAGGAGATGGTGAGACTATGACCATTCACAATGTTCTTTTTGTTGAAGGTCTTAAGCACAACTTAATCAGCATAAGTCAATTATGTGATCTTGGTCACAAGGTTATCTTCAAACCAGAAATTTTTCTAATATGTGAGCCAAAATCTGACACGGTAATGCTGGTTGGTAAGAGATTAAACAACATTTATATGCTAGATATTAAGCATTCTATCTCATCTCAAAGTTGTCTTCTTACTAAAGAAGAACAATATTGGTTATGGCATAGAAGACAAATTAATTTCTAAAGATTTAGTTTTTGGACTGCCTAAGCTTCAAATCCCGAAAGACAAAATTTGTGAAGCTTGTTTAAAAGGTAAACAAACTAGAAAATCTTTTTCAAATAAAAACATTATTTCTACTTGTAGACCTTTGGAAATGCTCCACTTAGATTTGGTTGGTCCTTCAAGAAACAAAAGCCTAGGTGGTAATCTTTATATCATGGTAATTGTTGATGATTTTTCCAAATTTATATGGACTGTTTTTCTAAAAGCCAAATCAGATTCTTTCAGATCTTTTAAAAACCTTGCCAAGGTTTTACAAAATGAGAAAGGTTATTTCATTACTTCTATTCAAAGTGACAATGGTGAAGAATTTGTAAATGAAAAGTTTGAATTATTCTGTGAAAAGTATGGCATAAAACACAACTTTTCTGCTCTAAGAACTCCTCAACAGAATGGTGTTGTGGAAAGAAAGAACAGATCCATTGTGGAACTTGCTAGAACAATGCTTTGTGAAAACTCTTTACCTAAATACTTTTGGGAATATGCTATAAACACTGCTTGTCATGTTTTGAATAAAATTTTGATAAGGCTCATTCTTAAGAAAACTCCATATGAACTTTACAAAGGAAGAAAATGAAAGTGATGTAGATCTTATTGAAATACTCTGGCAAAGATCTTATTGATTTGATGAAGTCAAAGATAAAGTCAAAGTCAACTTTGTAGCGGTCAACAGTCACTTAGATAAAAGAATAGAGGGATTAGTGTGTCCGCAGCTATGCTTAGGTATAATCATTTTTATCTTTTCTGCTGCATGAGGTTTCTTCACTTAAAAGATTTTGCAAAATGCCTCTAAAAACGTTTAAGTAGTTAAAAACAAAGTATTTTAACAAAAGCTTTCTTAAACAAGTTTTTAACTGATATAATTTCGAAATAACCGGTTGTTTTCATTAAAGAAAGTTTTGAAAACCTTCTGTCAGTATTTTAACTGATAAAGCTTCGAAATAACCGATTAAAATCACTTAAAATGTTAAGAGAAGTGTTTTTGCAGTATTTTAATCGATACAACTTGGTTTTAATCGATTAAATCCCCTTAGTGTTCAGGATGATCGATCACTACAAGAAAAACACCAAATAGTGACCGAAAATTCGGTCACTAAATGTGCAAAATCGGTTACTAATTAAAATAGTGACCGAAATAGTGACCAACTGGAATCGGTCACTATTTCCTTGGTCATCGATTTTAGTGACCGATTCATGACCGAATCGGTCACTAAATCAATGAAAAAGTTAATCAATAACAAATTTAATTATTTTTATTTATTTACATTTTTATTATATCTATTATTTATTTTCCTATCTCTTAATTATATTATATTTTACTTATTTAAGTTTTTATTTATATTTATTTAGTTTAACTTATTATTAGGTGATTTATTGTCATTGTCAGGATTCGAACCCGTACCTTAGAGTTGGAGGCTGAAACTCCAACCACCGAGCTACTTAGGATCTTTTAATAATAACTTACAAATAAATTATATTTATATACAAATAAATGTATATCCGTATAAATATAAAATCTATAAATAAAAATATATTTATATATTTTAATATATATTTAAATATTGATATATTTATATATTTATATAGCATAATGTATATTAATATATGAGGGGATAATATTGATATATTGATATATTTGTATATATATATATATATATATATATATATATATATTTATATATATTTATATATTAATATATTTATATATTTATATATTTATATATTAATATATTAATATATTTATATTTTTATATTTTGATATATTTATATTTTGATATATTTATATATTGATATATTTATATATTTATTTATATCCTTATACATTTATATCTTTATATATTTATATATTTGAAAAAAAATATTAATTTTAAAAATAATATTATATTTTTAAAAATAAATATTAGAAAAAGATTTAAAAATATATATAAATTATATTTACATTTACAAAATATTAAAGATATATGTTTATATCTTTACATATTTATATATATTTATATGTTTATATTTTTACATATATTTATATCTTTCCATATTTATATATTTATATATAAAGATATTAGTTTTGTATAGAAATAATATTATAATATAGTATATTATACTATTAGTATAGTATACAAATAATATGTTAGTATAGTATAGTATACAAATTATTAATTTTGTAATTTATATACAATGAAAATAATATAATGATATATTGGTATAGTATATTTGTATTCTAATTTTTAAATAAACTAAAATTACGCTAAATGTATAATAATATATGAGAGGATAATAAATTTAATCCAATTACTTTTATAAATATATAAATATAAAATCTATAAAATATTAAAAATGATATTATATTTTTAAAA